TTAATTTGCATATACCAGTATAAGGGCTGCAAGGTGGGTTGGTGATTAGCACCGTTGCCTTGCAGCTAGACGGTCGTTTGTGTCCCGATGAGGATCTTTCTGCATAGAGTTTGCATGTTCACCTCGTGCAGCGTGGGTTCTCTCCAGGTTCTCCTGCTTCCTCCTACACAGTCAAAAAACATGTTGAGGTTAATTGGTGATTCTGAATCGTCTGCAGGTGTGAATGTGAGTGTGCTTGGTTGTCTGTCTCTAAGTGTAGCCCTGTGATAGACTGGTGACCTGTCCAGGGTGTCCCCTGCCTTCACCCCTTAGCTGGGATAGACTCCAGCCCCCCGCGATCCTAGTGAGGATTCATCAGTGTATAGATAATGGATGGATGGATGAATGCAATTTTAATCTTTTTTTTATTCACAACATCTCCTCCAGATACAACACATCATCCTCATCATCCTCTTCCTTCCTCCTTTGTCTGACTGGAATGAAGCCTGGCTCGTAACTAAGCAGAAGAACTACTCAATTAATATACCTTTTGGCCATGACACATGGGTGAATAATAGAAAATAATATTTCAGATATTGTTTGTTGTTGTAAACCTGCCTTTAAATGATGTATCATGTGTCATGGCCAAACAAAACCACCGCTGTGTCCTCAACATTCATAATAAAGCACGTAAATATGAACAAATCAAGTATAAGAGGACAGAAACAGTCTCTTTTGTTTGTCCTGCTCACAATATGTATCATGAGATAAAGTCAGGATATGGATTTAGTGGAAAAGTGAAAAAAATTCTCATGATAAAACATTTGATAAACAAACAATAAGCCGTACAATATAGTGAGAAAGTTGTGTCTAATTGGGATAAATGCAGATTAGTTTTATGCCAGGACTATAAAAATGTAAAATTAAATTATAGAAATGACAAAAACAATTAATTGGCAAAACAGTAATCAGTAACCAAAACAGATGTATGAAAAATGTTGCCACTTTCACTCAAGAAGTGTTAATCAACAAGTTTACCAAATTAAAATGATTTTTAGCAGCTCCAGCCCCAAGTAGGACGCCTCCTGATGATGAAGTGACAGACTGGAAGCACTTCAGTGTGCCGCTTGTTATCCTCAGGATGTATTTCATTATCTGGAATATGTGTCACTGTGTGAAACTGATTCATATTTCAGTTAATAAAGAATTTCCAGCATCAGTTTTGTGTTTTGTGGTTTCTTTCACGTGTAGACATGTACTTAGAAGAGAAACATAAAGTGGAACTTAATCAGAACACACTATTACCCTTGTTGATCTGTTTATCTGTTGGTTTGTTTTAGAATATCTCTGCAGGCCAAATAGACTGTTTTTGGTGATTTGCTTTTTAAATTTAAATTTGTAGAAGAACCTGAATTGGTTTTTTTTGTTTGTTTTTTTTAATGTAAATCTCAACTGATCAAAAATGTGGAAAATTGCTTAAGTTATCCATTTTTAACTGTTGACCAAAGTGTGCTCAGGACATCCACCTAGTGGAGACATCACATGGCGTCCATCCCTTCTTTTGTTTTGCATTTTCCTTCCTTTGGCTGCAGGCTGTGGGTCAGTGTTGCATTGTTCAGCACTTTGTACCAAATACTTTCAGAGAGCTTCAAGTACGTTTCATGTCTGCAGTCTTTAAGACACTGTACAAGAGCGTCAACTAAATGTACAGCGAAATCTGAATTAAACATACTTTAACTAATGGGTCATTCCAACTCAAGTCATCAAATTTTTTTTAGAACAATTTCTGCTGGAGCATGTTGGATTGGCTGAGATTTTTATAGCATAAAATATGAATATTTATGAAGATATCTCTGAAATTTCAGCTTGATATAACAAATGCTTTACCAGAAATTTTTTTTTAAATTGCCCATCGATCACTTTCAGCACGTTTTTCAATAACAGTATCTCAGGAGCTAGTAAAGAAATGTCTCATCATATCATTGATTCAGATTCTGCAATATTATATTTAACAAGTTGATCAAATAGTCTTTGATTATGGGTGAGTTGAAATATTTTTTAAAAGGGAAGCTTCCATGAAAAGTCTCATCTTTTAGCAGACATTAACAACAATAACAAACGATAATGCAGAAGTCTACTACTGACCTGTCAAAAAAACAAAAACTAAGGTTATTTTCATTGAACTTCCATACCTGATTAAGCAGGTCTGACAAGTTGTACCACAAAGACAAAAATATTGCTAGATAGCTTGATCCAAGTAGAACAGAGTTCTGGAATGAAATGGTTCTCCAGATATAAGTACTTGATATACACTGTCGCCTATGGCATGCCGTTTAGGAAATTATATATATATATGTAAAAGTCTGAATATGTGGAATGAAACTCTGAATATATGGAATGAAACTCTGAATATATATAATGAAAGTCTGAATATATGGAATGAAACTCTGAATATATGGAATGAAACTCTGAATATAACGAATATCTATGGGTTAGATGTGATGGCGGCACGCACAGATGCAGCAGCCCCTTCCACAAACAGCGAGAGTGAATGTTTTGAGGTTCTTTCAAATGTCACTCAGTCCCTAATATTGAGTCTGGCCACCCCTGACACAGATCAATGTGTTAAGACAATGTGGCATACTGTCCACAAGCTTGCTGATGGTGTCAATGGGCAGGACGTCCCACCCTTCAATCAGATCCCAAAGTTAGCATTAGATTCACCTGGTAACTAGGACTCAGTATGTGATCATTGTGCCTGGTCAAAAGTGATTACTGTTGTGTATAAATAGAAATAAATTTTCAAGTTATGTTGCTAACAAACAAACCAACCAACAAACAGAAAACATAACCTCCTTGGCGGATGTAAAAATCTTTGTAAATATCTTCCGTTTTGTCACAACTGCTTCATGTCTGTGGTTAAATAGAGGGCATTCGTTTGAATGCCGTGTGGGAACCACAACTGTGGAGAAACGGTTCAACAAAAAGTTCTGTCAGAAAAATAACAGCTGCTGGATGTGACTCCACTTGTATGACTACATGTGCAGCACCTCTCAGCTCTGCCCCTGCCTGTCCACATTTAGGTATCTCTTATTATTTCTGCTGTGGAGCCTCTGCATTTTAGCCTTTTATACCGCTCATTTCAAAATCAGAAGCATTTTAGAACTCTATAGATTTACATTATCAATACAACCTATGGCATTTATAAGTTTACACAAGTGAAAATGAAATGCATAACAGCTGAATGTCATCAGCATACTGACTGACTTGTGCTTACTAAAGAAGTCACCTGAGTGAATGTAAGTTCATTGTCAGAGGTCTAAGGATAGAGCCTTAAAAGCCACCATGTTCAATATTCAAACAGTCACTGCTACAGGTGGTCAGAAGTCAGAGATTGTCAAGCAGAGAGTAAGATCTACTGTGTCAAGCGCAGTGATTTTAAACCTACAGCTGTACTTTTTTGCTGGTAAAATTAATGTTAAAATAAATGTATTTATAAGGGCCTCACAAAAACTAGTCTAAATACACTGCACATGCATTACTACACTGTATATAGTGCGTCCTATGTAATGCAGAAACATCCCTGTGTTTTTGTGTTACTGTATATCACATATAGCAGCTCTGGACAGAGTTGAAGTCCAACTCTGTTTAAAGGAATGAATGACTGTTAAAGAATAATATCTTGATCCATACAGGGGTTGTTTTGGTTTCCCTACAGTGTAGAAAAGCAATGAGCTCCCTAGGTTCTGATTTGGTATTCAGACTGTTGCTTTCCTTCTATAATCAGAACTATAACAAAGCGCTCAGCTGACCATTTTCATTTTTCTGGCACTCGATGTCATAATAAGTCATTTCCACAGCCACCAGGAAAAGTTAAATTACATAAAGGAATTAATAATGCTTTTCTATCCTTCAGCACACAGGATTACCCACGAGAGTGACCAGGATCTGGACGCCATTTTTATATCCGCCAAGTGCAGCTCTGACAATGAAAAGCATCTCTAAATTTTGTGGTTTTCCTTGTTAAACACACCCAGCTAACAGTTTCACAGGGCTCCCATCCCAGGAACATGTGCCGCTGTGGCCTTTTTTCAAAAGTTTCAGTTGGCTTAAGTCCCTCAAAACACAAAAGGGACGTCTCTGGTATTATCCCCAGATGCCCTGCGAACAGTATAGTTTATCGATAATGATACTGTGGTGTCCTGTGGGGAATTGTTGTCTTTCAGACCTGAAACACGGGACATGACTCAGCCAGAGAGATGGCATTTCTTTGAGACACACAGATATGGAGATCTTTTAGCAGCTTACGTAACATACCACTGTAGGAATATCTACCAAGTGAGACAGTTTATAGAACATTTCGTGTGGTAACCGCAGACGGTTTGATGTCGAATTTATTTGCAACACACATACATGTGTATATACACGCATGAATATCCTTTTTCATACTTTCTTTTTGTGTTTGGCTTACCACCTTGATGTGAGCTCACGTGATCTTGATGTTTTGTCACGGCATAATTTGTCATTTGATCTCTCAAATTCTGGCTCTTTATTTTTTTTTCATTAAAGCAAAAGTTTCAGTTAAAATTTATTTATTTGGACGGGACAGTACATATTAATACTTTAAATAAGTACAGTTTTAGGAATTACTTGGCTGTTAAGAGGGTGGATTTTGATGAGTTTGAAAGCTGATGATGTATTCCTTTTAGCTACATGGTCATGGGAATTTCTGGTAACACAACCTCATCCCGTCTTCCATTTCCAGACTTTTTACATTTTATTTATGTACTTTGATATTATAAAGCACTTAGTGAGCTCAGTTTTATAGAGGATAGTCAGTCTCTAAATCTATTCTCTAAAGATAATGGTTCCCAGAAGAATCCTTCCAGGAGTGCATGGCGGCGTAGCAGAGAAGGCCGGGGAAGTGTGTTAGACTACAGGGGGGTTACTTAGAAGGGGAAAATTTGTAGATTGTCATTTGGATTTGAAACATATCTTTTGTGACACCAGTCCTGAAACTTTTCTGACACACCTCGTAGTGATAGTCCATCCATCTATTATCTATACACCACTTTATGCTCTTTAGGGTAACAGGGGGGCTGGAGCCTATCCCAAGTGACGTAGGGTGAAAGCAGGGGACACCCTGGACAGGTCCCAGTCCGTCACAGGGCTATAGGTAGAGACAGACAACCAAGCACAGTCAGATTTACACCTACGGACAATTTAGAATGACCAATTAACCTCAGCACGTTTTTGGACTGTGGCTGCCTCACTGCTAGAAGATTGCATCCTGGCCTGGGATCTTTCTATGTGGAGTTTGTATGTTCCTGTGCAGCGTGGGTTCTCTCTGGGTTCTCCGGCTTCCTCCCACAGTCCAAAAACATCTAAGTGTAGCCCTGTGACAGACTGGAGACCTGTTCGGAGTGTCCACTGCTCCCTCCTTCCCCCGGATACCCTACAGAGGATCAAGCAGTGTATAGATAGTTTTTGTGGTGGTTTATGAGATTTTGGGTTTTTTGGAGATATTTCACTAAAGGAAGCATTATAGTACATTAATGAATAAAAAAATAATGAACAAAAAATAATATACCATCTCACAGTGTTAAAACCTTGTAACAAGTTTTCAGTCTGCACTTGATCTGGATCAAGAACCATCTTCTTCTTACTTTGAATATGGTTTAAATTTCCACTAAACGTTAACTGAAATCTGTACATGATTTTAAGGACATCTTTCCACCTAACATGTAAGCAGGCTGCTGAACAACCAGAACTGACAAAAGAAATTTCATCTCACCCAGACTTTGCCTCACAAAACATTGCTCAAATTCTTCTTTTTAAATACTGATCAACAACCAGAGCAGGAGATCGCTTCAAACAGGCCAATCAGTTCTGTTTGCACCGGAAGAGCAACAATCCTCATCCTATTTATTACTGTAAGGCTGTTCGTCTTTGTGTCACAAAGCAGTAAAGCACACCTTGTGTATGTATTATGTCATGAAACTATAGTAAAATACCTGAAGACAGTATCATATGTGCCACTATTTAAAGAAAACATGCCCATATATAGTACATAGCACAGCTACACTATTACTAGTAATTATACAGTAATTATAGTGACATTTAGATGAAAAAGAGGTTTAGACTGGAAGTAATCTGATAGTTTTTTTGTCTGGGTTACAGCAGCCATCGTTTTAAAAGCTTTTGTACTACAGCGGCCATGTTTTCTACTAAAATATAGAAATTTCAAATCAGTTATACATCTCACCTGTAATTCAAATGTAGTCATTTTTAACACACTATCTTATTACTTAGTTTAAGTTTGCTATTCAGTCAGTGAGAACTTTGGTGCTTCAGAAACTTATCTTTTCCTTCTTAAAGAGTACTTTGAGAGTCTGACTGAACTCCTGTTTCACTTTTTCTAGTGCTCACTTGTCTGATTTTATATCCAATAACGCATCAGGTGATTCCACTGCAACTTTATTGTCTTCTAATATCATTTTTAGGAACACATTGCATCTTGAATGACTAAGATGACTCGAATAATTTGTGGGAAGTTGCATCACAAGATGCTCAATACCTGTGACCTGTAACAGAGTCGACTTGGAGACAATATCACAGCTGCATAAAAATACAATGACATATCAAGGCGTTCGCATCACTTGTCCTTATTCACTGTGCTTTAAAATTGCTCTTTTGTTTAAGCAGGGCAGCTAAAGTTTCCTGGCAGGTTTGAGGCCCATATCCACTTTCATGTTGACTTCCTTTTTTCTAATACACGACACGGAACTAGGTGGTGATAGTCCTTTATTCCAGTGATAAAAGATCTTTTTCAGTTCAGCATGTAGCCTACATAAAGCCAGCTTAGGGATTAGTCTATCTGGGAGGAAATTAACTTTTCATCCAAATACTCGACCAAACACCATCAAAGGCTGACAGTTTAAGAGAGACACAACTTAGTAACAGCTCCAAGCATGCCGTGTTTTGTAAGTGCATCCCATTTAGATGAAGTCCCAATTCCCAAGTATGTATTGCCGACTTTAGTTTCAGTGGCACTTGTCTTCTTTGCTCAGGCGGCCCCTCCCAAGCCTTTATCTGTTCAGCTCAGGTCGTTCACTGTGTTCTCATGCATTGTTCGTAGGATGAAAACGCATAAACATGTGTGAAGTCGCAACATGCCTTTACAGTTTTTATATTTACAGTAACTTGGATGGGGAAGGGTGGATACAAAAAAAGATGAGGGCCTCTTATTAGAGAGGATTAAAGAACAGACAGAAAGAGAGCAAATGGAAAGTATATATTTTGTCCTGAGTTTAAAACATGCACTTTCTTGGGTTGATGTCACATGTGACATGAGACGACGGGGGACGGGATGTGTTAGTAGGTCAGTAAAATCAAGCTGCATGTAGAGTGTGGCCTGTGAATGCTGAAGTTATGACACTGTTGTGATAAGATCAATGTTGGTCGGGGCTCCTTTGATCAGTTTGACCTAAATCGTGGAAGTTTAAAGTGGATCAGCTTGAATTTTTCCATTTGAGTCTTTTATGACATTCACCGATCAGTAACAGTCATCTAAGTTCTGACATTGTAACTACATTGTTTTAACATTAGCATCTGAAGCAAAATGCTACAGGGATATTTAACAATTCATTAAATTAAAGCTTAGAACAGCAGAAGTCAAACTTACATTTGGGAAATGTCATTTAGAGCTCATTGACCTACAGAGACGACTGAACCCCAAACTTACCACAGTAGCTATATTGTTCTGTGTATATTTTAAATGCAAAATAAGTTCAGGGTCCTGAAATCAATGGGAATAAGACAGAGAATGTGGCTAAGTATGACAGTTCATTCCAGAAACGTCCATCCATCCATTATCTATACATCGCTTAATGCTCACTCGGGTTGTGGGGGGCCGGAGCCTATCCCAGCTGAATTAGGGTGAAGGCAGGGGACACCCTGGACAGGTCACCAGTCTATCACAGGGCTACACACAGACAGACAACCAAGCACACTCACATTCACACCTACGGACAATTTAGAATCAGCAATTAACCTCAACATGTTTTTGGATCTTGTGGGAGGAAGCCGGAGAACCCGGAGAGAACCCACGCTGCACGGGGAGAACATGCAACGCAGAAAGATCCCGGGTGTCCTCACCAGGACGCGAACCGGCGACCTTCTTGCTGCGAGGCAACAGTGCTGCGCCACCTTGCAGCCCATTCCAGAAATGTACTTAATAAAAAGAACCTTTCCATCAAAGATTTCTCACTGTAAAGTAAACTATATCTACTGATGAAAACTGAAATGGCTGGACAGTGAGTCGACCTGTATTTCAGATTTTCATGTTAAGTTTACTTGGTTTTGATAAACATGGTTACTGGTAAGATACTGTAACATCTATGTCTGTGTTAACTCTAGTTTTGCTTTCTTGGATGTGGGATTCCACAGACTCTGAGCCTGACCCTGACTTTAATAAATATATTGTAAAATGTATTAGAGCATCAATTATTCTCTATGCCACAAACTAGACTTATACATTTAATAGAAACAATGTAAAGTACATAAGGTGTTAGTTGTTATGGCCACCAAAGGTCATTTTTTACATGTTATCTGGACTGTGCATGAACACTCATATAATCACATTTCATATGCAAATCTTAATTCATGGACAAGAAATCTACAGTATAGACATTGCAAGTTTGGGGTTTGATCTCTTATGAATAAACTCAATAACAGACGTTGAGACGGACTACTGGCACACATATGTATGTCTGTTTTTTTGTTGTTCAGATACACAAGGTTTAGCGCCAAATTAATAGTATTGTCAACACAAATTACAGATATGAATTGTAAGAAAGTCTGTTTTTTTCACTGATGTTTGACTATCCGAAGTCCTTCAACAGCACAAAATTACTGTAGGGAAAAAGAAGCTGTTTAAGTTCACAAATATGAAAAACAAGAAATACCAAACAAGTAGACATTAGCATTGTTGGAAACTGATGCCTACTTTCACACAAAAACACCAAAAGCAGACAGACCGCTCTGCTATGAGACAAAATGGCCTGGATGAAAGTTATGCAAACTTCTAATTGCGTGACAGAGAGAGAAAGACCTTCTCATCCTTTTCATTTCAGGTAAATCCACCAAACTCTCTTCCATCCTTCCTTCCTTCCTTCCTTCCATCCATCCATCCCACCCTCCATCCCTCCCACCTGCTGTGTTCTCAGGGCTGCTCTGACTGCCTGGGGCTGTTGGTGGGACAGCCTTCCCCATTTGGGGAATACTGATTGGTTCCCACAAGTACTGGACTAAAGCTCAAAAGAATCCAGCTCACCTGTTGTGTTTGACTCCCGTGTACACTAAACTAATTTTAATTCCGCTCTCAATGTCAAAGATGGGATTCTTGGGAGCAATAGGCTTTTCTTTAGTATTGGTATCTCTAACTCAGGTAATGTTGTTATTTTTTTTCTTCCCTTTTTTTTTTCTTATTTATGATTTTAAAAAAAGTTATAGCATATTTCTGATTACCTTAATTTTGTGTTTTTTTTTACAGATACATCATAGTGCAGAAGGTAAGAAAATGAAGAAAGTTAGTTTAGATAATGTGAGACAGTTTATGTGTGCTAGCATGAATTGGATTTTAAAAGAAAAGCACTATATTATGTATAAAATGGAGTTAAATATTTTACACTAAATGGATGCAATGTGTGTCATGAAGATATAATGTAATCATGGCAAATATCAAGCACCTATGTTATTTGAATGCAGTTGCAGTGTTTACTGATCAGTAAACAAAGTTTATTGTGTATTCTCAGTGTATTCTCATTTCTTTCAGGCTGCAAAATCCTGTCAGCAACTTCTTCAAGCGCCTCTTCAATTTATGTAGAATGGGAAAAATATCCGGGGGCAACAAGCTATCTTTTGGACCTTCGAAAGAAAAACTCTTCAGGTTCTGCACCGGTTGTGGTGACTGTGTCAGGAGACAAGACGTCGAAGGATGTCCAGGGTCTGAAACAAGGGACCGAGTATAGTGTGACTCTCAAAGTTTTTTTGTTCTACTTTGTGGAGTGTGTGAATTCAACTTCGGCGTACACAGGTAAAATCACTGACGTTGCCACGCTGGTGGTCGTGACCGGGAATGTTGTTATTTCTGAGTGAACGCGTATATTTTCGGGAAATGTAAATCAGCCATATTTACACTTCAAGAACAACAGACTACATACACAATGAGCTGCTAAAAGAGTTACTTATACTATAAATTATTCAATATATTAGCTGTATCAAATCATAATCCTGTCGGAACTGCGCCTTTACGCGCAGAAACGCACCGTTACGCACAGACGCTTCACTTTGAGCGTACGCAACGCTGCTAGGTAGCGCATTCAAAGATGTTTTTTCATCTTCTCTTTCCTTCCAGTCACCGCGACAACGCAGATAACACACGGCTGGGCATCTACGAGCACCTCAATCACTGTAAAATGGAAAACGGTACCTTTGGCGGAGTACTACTACCTGGAGGTTTACTCTCAGGATACTGGAAAAACGCTTAACTACACCTTGACCAACACCTCGGCTGTAGTGGAAAACCTGCAACCCTCCTCTAACTATGACTGCTACGTATACACAGTAAACAAGGGCGGCATGGGAGAGAGCAGCAAAGTGCGGACCATCAGGACATGTGAGTGATCCGTGTCAGTCCGTCTCGACCCTAAAACACGTTTAAAGATGAATGGATGATATACACAGTCTTGTGTGTACACATGTTCTCTGTGTGAGACACAAGTCTCACACTGCTTCATCTCAATCTTGCTCACGTTCAGTAAATTTATCAAAGAAGATTTTCTCATTTTAAAAGGATATTACTCAGATGAGTTATAAGCCTTTGCAGATGTTCCTTCACTTTGATGCAAAAAGCTACATGTAGTCATGTAGGTTGTAAAAAAAAACAACAAAAAAACAAGGAGAGTTTATAGGTTTGCTTCACACTGCATTTTATTTAAAGTGACAGCATTTAAATGACATGTATCCCCATGCCAATAAACTCCCACTAAATTATTCTATGAATTAGAACACTAGGTAACAAATACTATAAAATCACTTCTGTTAAGAGTGGTTTAAAATGCTCCTCCAACATTGGGTCTTAATTTTCAGCATTGACCTAAATATGGGTTCAATGAGTATAATATGAAAGTATGTTCCCTTACTTAACCTTTAAAGTGGTTATATCACAAATCCAAGATCTTGTGTCAGTCTCACTTAAGTCAAGCATAAAAAACAGTTCTTAGTTTTTAAATGCATTTATCAGGGTTTTGAAATATCTGTCTCTGTCTGATATCTGATTTTATTTCCACCCAACTGCAATAAAATAAAATAGGGCTACGATCACAGTCCACAAAACACAGAAAAACTTTGGCTACACCTTGTCCATTTGGTCTCAGTCGTTCCACAATACAATAAACAGTCTCTTGGTGACTCTGGAAGATGGAAATCTGATTTTGGACAGCTTTTGTAGGAGCAACTGGCTTTAAATGAAATAGGTCTTAAAGAAACTGCAAGGTGCTGATTTATCAGTGATGTGGACTGTATGTGTTCGGAAAGACGAGGTGCTGTTACCAAATAAATTTGCAAAATGTGTCAGAAATTTGACTCCAAAGATTCCGAGGCAGGTATTTTAAAACTACAGCTTATAATGTGAATACCTAATCATGGCTTGGAACCTCTTTAATTAACTTCGCATACAAGAATTTGATGTATTTTTACGTAAACTGATGCATTAACACTGTTTGACTTGTCTTTGGCTGTAATAGTGGAATATGAATTTATAAATGGTAACTGTAACCCTTTTTAGATCTTCAGATCAAAAAGGTCCACAAGAATCATCAGCTGAATTATCTTCCCCTAAGTAAATCCTCGTTTCTGATTTTAGTGCAATCGCCACCAGTGGGTGTCACAGCAAAGCAGACTGGACAGGATACAGCGAGAATAACGTGGCAGCCGGTGAAGAAAGTCCTGTTGTACCAAGTCATCATCCGGAATCTCAGTGACCCCACCAGCCAGCTGTCCACATACAATGTCTCAGACACCAAGTTGGATATTGGAGGCATCCTCCCATGTTCCAGCTATCTGATATTAGTGTCCTCATTCAGCATATTCTTGGTGCCGAGCGAGCCCACAGAATACATGTACACCACCAACAGTGAGTCGGCAGAGCCAAACCAATATCAATATCTTGGTGATTAGGATCTAGGTCAGCTTTTCTCTCTGAGGCGTCCCTTTCAGACACGCAGAATATGATCCTCAGGGAAAAAAGGATTCAGATGCCCTGACAACCTACTTGTTGAGCCTATCATGCAAACATAAACCTGGAAAAAAAAGAAATCTAAGTAGACTGTTTTACAGTATACTGTCAGTTTTCCCATAAGAGAAATCGTTAACCACACTGTTTCTGATAAAGTTTCCACCATAAACAGTTTTTCATCTACAAAATAACAAAACAACATTTTATCTACTGTGTTACTTGCAGAGTTGATGCCCGTTTCGTCAGTATCGGTGGAGTACAGCTGCACCTCACACTCTGTCATGGTGTCTTGGTCGGCTGTTTTTGGGGCCGACTCCTACTCGGCCACGGCGACGGACAAATATGGTACAGAGATGTCATGTACGAGCTACGGCACTAACTGCTGGATCCCTGGACTGACTTGTGGTCAAAGCTACGTAGTGCATGTAACACCCATGTCACAGAACTGCAAGAACACGATCAACGCTACCTCGGCCACTTTCCATACTGGTGAGACCCAAAATAAATACTTGTAGAGCAAAGAAGAAGAAACACTGACATCTTGTCTGAATTACACTTTGATCTAGTTTGTTCAGTAGAGTGTGACCCGTCATAACCAACCAGCTGAGCCACTGTTACTATGTAAGCTTCTCCATCAGTGACTCAGCACTATCTGATCCACCTCATTTTAAATGAGGGGTCAGAGTGCTGAAGTTTAGCTGTTGAGCCCATGCTAGACTGAGAAATCCTTTGTCATGACTTCAGAAGTAATGTGGTGGATATCGTTCCACCAACCTTTCAATTTGGTTTAAACAGCACCAGTTCACTACACGAGTCATCTCAGGGGGCGTGATACAGTTAGACAAAGGCCATACATATTTTATTATACATAGAAAACTTAACAAATCCAATGATTCCCTTTGGGTAAGCTCTTCGGAGGCAGTGGGGGAAAAAAAACAAAACTTTTTAACAAGAGGAAACCTCCAGCAGAACCTGGTTCAGGGTGGGCAGACATCTGCGTCAACTGGCTGGAGGGAAGGTAAAGGGACAGAGAAAAGGATGGCAGAGGGGAAACAGAAAAACAGCACATAGTAGAACAGTAAGCACTGGAGAGGTTGGTGAAGCCAGTAAGTGCAGATCAGAAATGTGTAACTCCACACCTACACAAACTACAGGGGAGAGAAGACGCATGCAGTTGTAGCTAATAAATATATAAAGATTGACAGAGGAGAGTAGATGAGAGATTCTCAGTGCCTCATCATGGGAAGTGTCCCAGCAGTCTAGGCCTATAGAGGCATAAGTAAGAGATAGATCAGGGTCAACTTAGCCAGCAAAAACGGAAGTTTTAAGCCTGATTTTAAAAGCAGGCAGTGTGTCTGCCTCCTGAACTTAACTATGGATTTTCTTCACAAGTATTGAAAAGTCTGCCATGTCTTTACTTAAAGGCAACTTCTTTCTAAATTTAATCAAAGTCTTTACAAGAACTTGACTCTATTGGTAATGTTGTCCTCAAAGAAGTATTTCAGTGACTTGGTATTGTAGTGCCACAAAGTCGGGCATCTTGTCACAGCCACATTCAACAGCAGAGGCCAGAATTGCCTGCAAGCGTCAGTAGCATCTATTTTTAGACTATCACAGCCTGCTGAATGGCCACATCTTGAACCTCCACACTTCTAGCTCATCATTGAGGCTTTCTATTATCACTGTCTTTAAGCTCAAGCAGAGAAGCTACCGAAGTCATATACAAGTGTTTTCACACGCTGATCAGAGGTTGGCACACTACAAATGAAACAAATTTTCAACCTCTGTTCTACAAAAGCTGATTGACTGACTTCTAGCAATACCAGAAACCAAATGGGATATGTATGGTAATGTAGAACAGAACTAAGCATGTCTTTCAATTGGCAGGCCTGATCACAGTTTATCATGCATTACATATCTGCCAAATTGCTTTCGGATTCAATCTGACTGAGAATCAGGCTTTTCATATATTATTCACCAAAGTTTAAGGATCGGCAGAAAAGACGTGGACAAGAACACAACCACACACGTACTGAACGGTAAATTTGGTGGTTATTTTGCAGAAGATAAAGTAATCCAACCCCTCATGAATGATACCATACTATTCAATTTTAGGATGACAAACATTTTACCTGCTCCACCCTGCCATCTATTTTGTGCTAATCCCATTGTCTCACATGTCTCTCCATTCTGTCGGAGAGTTGGTCAAGATAGTTGTGTCCAGCCCCACCTCCGGGTCACATTGTATCTGCTACGCTGTTGTGACTTGGATGACGCTTATGGCAAGTGCCCGTTGCTGGGCCATTTAATACTTGGAAATGAAACCAGAAATAATGAAATCAGGTGAAATGAAATCTTTCTATCTAAAAGGCACAACAACAAAGAGGCAGCATTTTTAGATCTTGTTTTGTAAAGACAGAACTCCTGATGACCTTTTGCAGCCTCAGGTTATAGTGCATCATCAACTTCTACAGACTATTTTGATTCACACATTGTGGAAACATGATCTGCTCTTTTGAATTTAGGTATTTTTGGTATAAATGTGCAAATATCACTTGGTCCGTCATGACTGTATTACATCTACTTGTCTCTACCTCTGCTGAGGTCACGTCAGTCTGGCATCATCTGAGAATACTTGTTTACAAGATATTTCTTTCCAAGCCCAAGTTTTGTTTGCCGTCTAAGTTCACACGTTTGCCTGAATGATCAGTAGGTCTCTCCTTTGAAAATTGGGTCTCCTATTGACGCCACTGTCTATATCACATTGTGTTGTGTTCAGCCTGCTAAGAATAAGCCTGTGTGTGTATGAAACCTGAAACCTCGTACAGTGAAAAGCAACACTGGAGTACAATCTTCAGTATCAGGGCGTTTTAAGCTGAAGTGGGATTTGAGACACTC